GGAGGCAATTCTCTTTGGCTCCAACAACCATTTCATCCTTTTCTCTTGGCAGCCACAAGGTATGAACAAAACAGCCAGAAAAATTCTGTTTTTCCTAAACTCGCTACTTTCTAATAGTATCATCAACTCATTACATATGCAGCTTTTTAAAATTAGTCGACACAAACAACAAACTTCTCATTTTGTAGAATTCTACACCCTTCTATAAACTGCTGAAGCTGACATGAGGTATACGTAAGTATTTTTCAAACTTACCTCTATGTTTTTCTCCTCAACAAGCTATTTCTTTCCCCTACTATTCTGAAGACAGACTGGGAGAGGTCTTCAGCTACTTTTCATTGTTTTGTTCCAGATTATATTTTCCTCTTCCCTTGCTTTCTATCAATAAGAGGAAGACATCTCAAATTCTCAGACTTATTGTCTAGCTGAAGAATTCCATGTGGGATAGTTTACAGTACACACAGAGACTTGCGACAGATTCAATGCACTAAAAGATTATATTACTCTCTGCTTACTTCTATCAAACAGTGAAGTTTTTATTTGGGTTTACAGTGGCACATTTAGTTTTGTGTTTATTGTAGCTCGCTGCTTGTATTTTGCCAGCAGTGTAACTTAAGCTGTCTGCTGTTATTGATCATCAGGTCAAAGCAATCAAACAAGTAATCTTCTGTTATTCCACGGGCTTTTGGAGGGGCTAACCGGAACAACAAAAGGATCCAACAATGATACCCTCTGTACTTAAAACACACAGGAGTCAAGGATCGCTTAATCTGCAAAGTAAGACTGGTTGTACAATTAAGTGCTCACAGTTGCATGCCCTTGGATTCAATTCCATTTCCTATTCCAACAGCCTTCCTTTCCTTGTAAGATTTTGGTAACGCTATTTTTCAACAAAGACAGAGCATTATTACAGAATTGTAGGGCTGGAAGGGACCTATAGAGATCACTGAGTACTGCAAAGCAGTCTCCCTAACAGCAGGCTGCACAGGTAGGAGTCCAGGCAGGTCTTGAATATCTCCAGAGAAGGAGAATCTGCATTATCATGATGAAAACATTAATTTTACTCTATGTAATACAAGTTTGTACATGAGTGTGCATCAATGCACATATATATGTATATACACACACACAGAAAACACACATGCTCCATCCTGTGAATTAACCAGGCAATTCAGCAACATTTTACTCCAAACCATCAATCTAGCATACGTGTATAATGGCTTATGCTGAGTACTTGCTGACTATGCAGTGCTCTATTACACAAATGTCATTGCTGCTTCAACCTTGTTCCTAATCATAATATGTGCCCTTAGATCTCAATAAACAAAAGGAGGATTGAACCATTTCTTTTAACTTGCATCATGATACAGTTCTTCCAGATCAGGGACAAAGCCTTGTTAAGTAATTTTCTCTCTATGATTTAAGACTTAGCATATAAGTTAAATAACTAGTGAAACAAGATTTTTTCTTCCAATTCAGTTAGAATAAGGTGATAAAAGTGTTTATGAAATGGAAAAATCATAAAGCCAATACAGCACTATGTTTAGAAATCAATCAAATCATCTCTGATGCCAAGATCCTGTATGACATTCCCATACCATAGCAGCATGATTTTATGAGAGACTCACTGCTTGCCTGTGTAGCAGAGTCCTGCTTTGGCCCAACATGGGTGCTGCTGCTTATCAGCAAGGTAACTGACTGCCAAAGCAGAGCTATCTAGGGCTGAAAATCTGCATGTATGCCAATTCAGTGGCCTAATTGCTCTACAAAGCTTAAACAGAAGATGGCATAGCTCTGCTTTGGAGCTTGGGTTCAAAGACTATTTCAAAAATCTGCACAGAAGTAAATACTTAGGCTTTAAGTTTGTGAAATGAGGTTTTCCCTCATATGACAAGGGGAAGTGTGTTAGCTACCCAGTTGTAGAAGCAAAAAATATGCAGACAACTGTGCAATAGCTTTATTGGCACTGGTAGAAAGAGCAGACAGCAACTTAGACAAGAGCAGCAATAGTTTTCTCTGAAGCAACTGTAACTTGAACACTAGACTGCACATTGGCTTTGACAGAGGGGTATCGGCTATAACTGCAGACAATCTCCTGCTGTCTTAGAGAGAAGGTAATGCTATTGGAAAGCAGCCATCCTGGAAAGAGAGGAGACAGAGGATCAAAAGCCAGAACAGAGCTCATGAGTATCTGGCAAGGGTTTCTGCTGGATCTCCCTGCTAGCTCTAATCACCTCAAGCAGATGGAAAAGAACAGAAATTTGAAACTTTACTGGAGTTTAAGTGGACTGTGTGAAGCATTTGCTTACTGTAAGCTGGGTGCAAAAGGAGCTTAAATAAGACCCAACATTCATAAATAGATCTGTAGCAACAAAACACACATCTGTGTGACCAGAAATGAGGCTGCCCACATTGCAGTCGGCACTTACATGTAATCAAGTGCTACTTTCATACACTTAGCAAGTCGAAGCATCAACACTGTTGAAAACTGATTCTAGTTTTCATACCTTGTTGCTAACATATTTTTCAGATTTGGAGAGAATAAGTTAAGTTTGCAGACTGAAAACTCCTCTTTGTTTTTTCCATATTCTCAATTACATACATATGCACGGGCACACACACTTAGAGGCAAAAATAATAGGGGGGAAAAAAATAACATATAGGGATGTCTTCCTTTGAGAGCCAAATGCATAACTAACAACTCCTGTAATTGATTTTTGGGATGTCGGGACACTTCCCAATGGTGAGATCTGCTAGACAGAGGAATAACTTCCCTAAGTGGAATCATGAAAGTTACCCTACTTGAGATACCTAAGAGAAACTAAAAGAAGCAGTAGGAAAACAACCAGAACCCAGTTACTCACTGGTAGATTGACTCAACCAACCTTTATTACTGGCAACTTTTAGTTTACTACAGAACAAAAGTCACCTTTTCTTTAGGTTCTTTATACGTAAAAGCAAACTCAATCACTCTTAAAGCTATGATTCTGCCTCCACATCTCAAAGCTCTTATTGAAGAGCTACTGAACAACAGATCATTCTTGTCTGCATTACCTTAAATACGTATATTTATTATCTTAATTTCTTGCCACCATAAACAAGAAGATAAAACATAAGCTCACAGATGCAGCAAGTGTATTTCTGAAGGGAAGTTCAATTTTTCTAGTTATTTTATTATCCTTATAAACTAGGCCACAACCAATTTAGCCCAAGGTTCCTGGAGCTTTCCCAGCTCAACTTGGAGCACACTGTACATGCTGGGAGGGGCACTGGAGGGGAACCACCATCTGAAACTCATTAATCAATTAGAATTGTTGAGGGTTTACATCAAAATGTGATCTGCGCTGATAAAGTAAACTTTAATCACAAGAAACCTTTGTCCTTTACGTTATGAATATACTTGCTACAAGTGTGCGCAGTGCTCAGAGCAGAGGATACAGAATCTGGCAAAAAGAGCACACTGATACTTTAGACCTGTAAGGCCCTTGGTCTGAAGCCAGACCAGAACAAAGTTAACCACACAAAAATCTGAGCTAATCATTGAAAGCCTGGATGTTTCTAGGACTATGCCTAATAGAAATAACTCCATTGCCTTGATAATGTCTTCTCTTCCAAAAAGAAAGCAATGAGTCTTTCTCACATAGACCAAAACAAATCCTTAGGAATATTCTAGATGTACTTGCTCATAAAATTACAACTTCCAGAAACTGAGCCTTTTCCTATCACAGTCCAAAAACTTTCTAGTTGATTTGCCTGGCTCTCATTGCGTGCTTTTCTGCTTAACTAAGAAAAAAAAAAAAAAAAAAGTCATTAAAAGTTAGTAGAAAAGAAGTTTCCATTCCACCAAAGGGAGAGGGAAATATACACACACCTGTCACATCGCATCTGACAAGGAGTAGGAAGGTGTCTCTTGCAGCAAGCACATTAGGCAGGCGGCATTACAAATTGACTAGCTATCATCAGTTTTGTATTTAATTACAAAATTTCTGTTCTGAAATCAGCAAGAAGCTTTAATATAGAGGTTTCAAGCAGAGTCAAGAAGGTACTTCAGATTTTAAGTGAAATAAGACTGTGGGCTAAAAGGAAAAATAAAGTGATCAAATGAGATAGTAGCCTGGAGTCAGTATGGACTGCAAGCATGGGGCTGACCCTTCTCACTTCTCCTTTCTCTGGGTTCAGGGTGGCTGTGGTTCCAACCAGGGTACCACAGTATAACGCCAATCAGATGTTCTGTTCATAGAATCATAGAATTGTAAGGTTGGAAACGACCTGCAAAATCATTTAGTCCAACCATCCTCCCATCACCATTGCTACCACAAGCACTAAACCATATCTTGCAGCTCCTCATCCAGATGCCTCTTGAGAACTGCCAGGGATGGTGACTCCACCACCTCCCTGTGCAGCCATTCCAGTGCCTGTATATTGAACCATACAACGTGAATTTAGGAATGTCAGCTAATTTCCTATTAAATCACAATCCACATCACAAAACCACGACGCTTGGCACAGCATCTACTTTGCAGCAAAGAAACCATTTGAGACCTAATACACATGGAAACTGAAGAGAACCTGGTTGGTTTTAATTTCAAAGTACTGCCAGAACAGTGCTAAAGCTGCAGTAAGGTCCCTGCTAAGCATCCTTGCTGGCGCTCTGGAAGGCAAAGCTGACGCACACCTCTGCAACAGCAAGCCGAGAAGAGGGAGAAGCAAAGAAGAGAGGATGCTAAGACAGATGTTTAGAAACAAAGTCTTCCCCAAGGGCTTCCCGAGAGCTGAATCCGGAGCCTGGGGGAGTAAGCGAGCACCTGGGCGGCCGCTGCTGCCGTCCGAGCCGCCTCCGCCCCACACTTGCCTTTACCACGCGCGCCGCGATCCCTCCGACCTCGTCCTCCTGCCCCCGCCTCACCCAGGGCTCCGCCGAACGGCTTCGCAGCCGTGCCGGGAGGGACGGGAGAGATGTCCGGAGCCCGAGAAACTACCCCTCTCCGCCCCGCGTTCACCTTCCGCCGAGCCCGTCTGCGCTGTCCTCGGGGCCTCTCCGCCACACGGCTGAGCTAATAGCTTTGCCATAAGTGCCGTGAGCGCGGCTCCCGGCTCTGCCCCTCGGGGGCAGGACCAAGAACGGCCGTCGCGGCCCCTCCGCGGGATGCTCGGGATCGGCCCACCAGCGAGCTCCAACCCAGCCAGCTGTCCTCGGCCGAGCCCCCTCCGCCGGCCCTCCCGCACCCCCACGCACGCTCTCACACCGCCTCCGCACTGCTTTCAACCTCTGGACGCACAGAGAAAAAAAAAAAAAAAAAGAGAGAGAGAAAGAACGAAGGAAAGAAAGCAAAGCCCTCTGCCCTGCTACGCGGGAACAGAAACAAAAAGCAGCGGCTCCGTGCTGCTGAACGCAGCTCACCTTCCCGCTGCCGGCCCCTTTTTTTCTTTCAACTTGAAGGCATGCGGCGGAACGCCCTCAATTTAAAGGAGCCCGGGCCGCTGGCTCCTCCGTGGGGCCGCCAGCAAGCCCCGCCGA